AAAAAAAAATTATTCCTACATGATATGTTTATCTAATTGAAAATTCAGAATAATAATCTTCATATAGAAATAAAGATAACTAAGTTTACCAAGAATATTAGATACAAAGTCAATGTATGAAAATTAATTCCCCATTTACATATGAGTAACAAACAGGTGGAAAATAAAATCTAAAAAAGAAAAAAAGATATCACTTAATAGCAAAAAAAAAAAAAAAATCAAGTACTTAGGAATATATCTCAAAAAAAGTTGGACTTTTATACAGAAAACTACAATAATATTGAGATAAATTAAAGATGACCTACACAGATGAAGGAAGATAGCAAGTTCATATATTGGAAATATAAAACGTATCAAGATATCAATTCTGTCCCAATTAACACAATCCTAACCAAGATGGCAGCAGTTGCGTGTGCATGTGCAAGTGTGTGGTGTGTCGTGCTGGGTGCTAGATGTGGGACTGTGCCCCAGCCTCGTTCTCACAAATTGCCTGCTGGGTCTGCCCCTCCCAACAGCCAAGTCAGCGGGCTCATGCACTTTCCCATAGGCACCCTACAATTTTACTGTTAAGATGTTTTCAAAAAGGGCAGAGGAGGGAAGGGACCCTCCTCAATAGGGTTGCTGGAATAAACCCCTCACTGGGTTTATTTATTTAAAACACAAAGGAAGAAAGTCAAGGCAATTTACCAAAAATAATACTCATAGCAGTTAATATTTGAAAGTGAGTACTACATGTCAACTACTGGTATAAACTCTTTGATGCACTAAGTCATTTAATTCTTTCAAAAATGTTATGAAGTCAGAATTATTATTGCTATTCCTCTCCTACAGATGAGGACTTTGAGTCATAAAAATGAGATAAGTTGTCCAAGATCCCTCACATTGAGATCTGAACTCGGATAATTGGCTTAAGAGCCCACATTCACTGCTTCTGTCGTGGGCACATTAGAAAACGTAAGGAGGCACATTTTATTCATTTAATCCAGTTGAATGCTCCTGTTTATAAGACTGAGTATTTATTTCAAAGACACTATATAGTAATACTCTTAACCCTCGAAACCTCACTAGATCCTTTCCCCATTTATTACAGAGCCTCTTGAAGTGCTGCTCTTCCATAGAAAACTCAAGTTGAAGAACCGTGGTAAATCAAAGCTTTCCCATCTTGAAAGCAAACAATTCACAGAACATTTTAATAGACCTCTCCAGTTTTCCTGACTTGGGTGCTCCCTAAGTCATAAGAAGGGAATCCCTGACTTGGGCAGTTATGAAACAAATGAGCAAAACTTCTCAAATCACACAAAAATATTTAAGAAATCTCCTTTATTCATTCAACCATGAGGGCTCACCAACATGTAAGAACATCATTTTCTAAATTTCAAAACACTTAAAATGACTGTGACCGCATCTGGCAAGGTGGGTGCAGGCCCCACCCTTCACTTCCTCCCCCAACTGGCTGCCCCACTGCACTGACCTCTGTGTTCATGGGATTACTGTTTTCCTGGACAGTGACGGACAAATGAAGTCCTCTGACTCTTCTTCCCATGGAAACCAAAACAACTGGTTATAAACTCCTGCAGGTTATTCTTTTGCAAGGCCTCCTACACGGTGCTTTCCTTCACATGTGCACGACTCTCACACTAGCTTGTGAATGCTCTCCTCACACCTGACCCCAGCCCCCTCCTTGGTCTTTGGGCCTTCATGTCACTCTCGGATTAAACACGAGACATGTCAATCTCTTTCCCAATGGCCTTCTTATGATTCCAGCTACACTTAAACTCCTTCCACATCTTCAGTGGTTAGTATTTCTCAGTATCACTCCCTAGCCAGGACAGTTCTACTTCTCCTGAATGTGCCTTCTAATCTTTACTCTGGAACATTTGCAGAAATGACTTCCCTGCCCTTCTAGGTCTGCCTTAATTTCATCATCTACTCCATGAAGATTTCTCTAGCCATTCATGGACACAGGGTTGCAACCGTCGCTCCATTGGTGATAAAACTTACAATATACATCACTTTTCTGACCCATCCTGCCTGTTGTCCAGGATAAAATAAGTGCTACATGTTGAGTAAATGGTTTAGCCTGATATACAAATACATTTGAAATGTGTGTAATGTTAGAGAAGGCAATCAGAGAGAAGGCAGAGAAAAGTAGGAAAATGGAAATACAGTTCATTCCATGTAAATGTGATACCATTGGGGTCCTCCCCATCAGTATCAGGGAAGCCTTGCTCTGAGAGTTTTATGTAAGTCTATTAGTTTGCTAGTTGCCAAAACTTGGTTAAAAGTTTTCCTGGTTCTTAAGCACTAAATTACAATGGAATTCCAACAGAGTTACACATGACATCCCACTTGAATGCCCAGCAGGGACTTTAAGGTCACCGCACTAATGAATGGCACAAGAATTAATAAGAGTTGAGCCGTATGTGCCTTCCTGTGCTGCAGCTGGGCAGAACAGTGCTCTGTTCATGGGCTGAAAACACATCTCAGACATGGTCACCACAGCTGTGCCGGGCACAGCTGCCCTTCAGAAGCACTGAAGAGTCGTGGGCCTGTTCAAAATACTGTGTCCTCTTCTCTCATCAGACACATTTCCTTTAACATTATCAACTGCACAACAGCCACACTTGTCTTTTAGAGACATTCAAGAACGAAGACAGTTTTATCAAACAGCATGATCTTCCTTCCCCTTATCCTCCTTGCTGCCAGCACATCCCTCGCTCAATTTTTTTAATGGACGTTTTCAATTCACTCAAGGCCCTGCGTGACATGCCTCATCTCCAGGCACTGCCACCCCCATCCCCTACAGCGTGGACATACTCAATCTGCTGCATCTCCCATATCTACCGTTCAGTTTTGGGCTTTCTTTCAAACTTTGCACAAGGGCTCCCACCTACTGAAGCCCCCTCCATCTATTCTTTGCCCAGCTGTCTCTTCCTATTCTTAGAGAGGCTGATAAGTTGTTGCTTCTTCAGAACTGCCCTCTGTCTGTCTGTTTCTCTTCTACATCCCTTCCTGGGCTGGTCAGGCCTCCCCCAGCATCCTGCCTTATGTCTCTCTAGCAACAATGCTACTGAATTTGGCTATTCTGTAGGCTAATACTGTTTTTGTCCCTCATTGGAAAACAGATTCCTAGAGGATAATGACATTATAGTGTAGTAGTGAGGAGGACAGGTTCAAATCCAAGCTCCACGGCTTACTAGTTGTGTGATCTTGGGCTACATATTTAATCACTCTGTATTTCAGTTTCCTCATCTGTAGAATGGGGATACTAAAAGTCCTTCCTCAATAGGGTTGCTGGAATGATTTAATCCAACTCCTCTAAGTAACTCCTCAAAGGGTAAAGGGCTTATGTCAGTGCCTGGCTGGGTCATGATATTAGTGGATATTACTGTCATCATTGCTATTATGGAGCCATTTCTCATTCTTAGACCAAGTCAGTGCCTAAAACTCAACAAGTGATCACTGAATGAGTGAATGAATAAAGAATTATGATGCCCTCCTATCATTTCACTATTTTCTCTTGTCACATATGTTTTGGTTCAATATTTTTGAGGGTAAATTCAGGAATAATTTGCCAATTCATATAAAACCTAGAAGAACAAAGCAGACAGGCATCAATATACGTGAGCAAAAATCCTGCTGCTCTTTAATTCTTTTTCTCTTAAGATATTAATAATGGGAATAACAATGTGTAAATTCAATAAAAACTCACCAAATTTGTTCAAAAGTGGTTTTTAACCTATTTTTTAAACAAAATAAACATGTTTATTATGTTCATAATAAATGGACATTCAAGGGTTATTTCATTGCATATGCAAATGAGAGAGATCAGTATACATGGAAAGTTGCATATTAACTATTTATATTTCCTGATGTGAATCATTTATGGATTTCCCTGCATTTTGATGTATACAACTTTTACTTGGCTTTAGCACTAATTTTAATCTCTTCTTTACATGTGCAATTCCAAAACAATATCTTCTTTACTGAAAGAAATTAGAATGATTCACATATCCATGACCAATAAGATATGTGTTAATTAATCTTTAGCAAGAACAAGGCTGACAAAATGCTGGATTTAAGAGAGAAAGAAATAAGTTTATAATTCCAAGGAAAAAAATAAAAACTTCCCTGTCATTGATACCAAATGAAGACCAAGATATGCAGAGTTCATAACATATAAACAAAACAAACAAACAAAAAGCATGAGTCAGGAGTCTTACTTAACTAGGACTCCATTAGAGAACTTAGCCCTTATACCATAAGGAAGGGAGTGGCAAGCTGTGGGCTACATCTGAGTCAAATCCAGCCTGCCACGCATTTTTGTAAATAAAGTTTTATTGGAATGCATATCACACCCATTCGTTTACATATCAATCATGAATGCTTTTATGCTCCCTGGAACAACAGAGTAGTTGTGACAGAGACCATATGGCCCACAAAGCTGAACATATTTTACTCTTTGTCCCTTTACAAAGAAAGTTTGTCCATCCCTGACCTGAGACATCCACGTGCATGATGAATTAACTTCATGTCTATCCATCAGTGATGCTACTAGTTATGAACCATGCCTTTGAAAAACTGAGAAAAAAAATGTCACTCGAGGCATTTACTGTAATGTGTGGTTTAGATGAAAAAGGCTCCCTTAGAGTATATTTGATTTCCTTTTTATTTCTGAATAGGGTAACCTATTTTTTTTTTAAATCTACAATTTATCACCCAAACTGAGATTTTTTTGAGAATAAAGGGGATACCACTAATAATTATGCAGGGAGGACGGATGGAAATTGGGCCTTATGCTCACCCCCATTGTCAGGCATTATCCAACTGTGAAGTTGTCAAGCCCAAGAAACAACCCAACCAAAGTCAAACCAGGCTTGCCCAACACCATTGCTTTTGGTTTTTGTTTTGCATTTTCTGATCCCACCTACTACCCCCTCCCCCCACAACCCTTGTGGATGGCAGGTCTTCTCCGAACACAACACAAGTTTAGAACTTACTTTTTAATTCTTTCTCCAAAAGAAGCTATTTCCTCCAAGATGTTTTGAACAGTTGAAACAATATCCTGTACCATATAGATTCTCTCAATGAACCCCTTTTTCTCGGATTCCTAGGAAACATAAAAGCAATACTTAACTCAGTTATCTCATTTTTTATCGTCTTGCTAAAGAAATTACTATATCATGTTATAATAACACGATGTTTACCCACAGAGTGACTCCAAGAGATAAATCACATTTTTCACCACTTAAATATGTATTGACTCCAAAAAAGAATTTCCGTGCACTCATTCATATGCTACCACTCATAGTGTGCATGCCGAAGTCACTACCTCAACATCCTGAGGCGATCAACAGAAGCCCCACAGGACCAGGAGCTTCATTTACCTGTAGAGGCTGCTCCTTCCCTCGGAGAACTCTGCAGTCCCTTCGGTTTGGCTGCTCTGATTTTCTGTCTGTCTTACCAGGTTATCTGCAAGCTCACCTAGCCCTGTCTTATCACGGTCCTTCAGAAATGTTCCCAACAGGTAACGACATGGCATGTTGGAGATACAGATAATGTGTTTCCTAGTGCTGTAGCTTCTTAGTCAAGCTCTGCTGCATTTTTAATCATGTTTTAAACACATTGCAGGCCTGATGAACATTTCAGTCATCCTTTGGCAACCACCTCAGAAACAGAGCAAGTATCTGGAGACGTGCTACAAAGTAACCGGGCAGTACGCTGCTAGGGGCTGCACCCTACTCGGGTTATTCTCTGTGAGGATGCTCAACAATCCATTTACGGTGATTTTCTTCATTAAAAGCAAATAGAAATTCATCTTCTTCAGTCTCCAGTTCCTCATATGAAATGGAATTCAGCTTCCTAAGACCATTATCCTTACTTTGCATATAGAAACCTTAAACGTGTTTTACCATGCTAGGTAGCTAATGCTTATCCAAATAATTTAGAAATTACTCAAATGTCAGAGAAAAGAAGATTCCCTAAAGAACTGTACTTTTACACTATTTTTTTTAATATTCTGATGCTATGTTCTAGTGCCCCCATGAACTTTGCTGTGACTGGGAGTTAGCCAGTGTCCTCTTTAGGATTCCTGCCTTTCTAGGTCATTGTAGCCACTACGACTAATATATGAAGCCTAAAACCTCAAGCAACTCTAATGAAACTTTCTTTTTTTCATATTTAGAATTTTACTTGGATTAGACTTGTACTAAATTACTGAGCAAACACTTCTAAATTTAAGAGAACATTCCTATAACACCCTCTGTGCTGCAAAAGAAAAAAATCATTTTCATCTTGCATTCTCTGCTCCATCAAACTGGAGCCACGGAGGGAGGGAAGGAGCATAGCCCCCCTGTAGGAATTGCTGGTAAAAACACCAATATGGCAGAAATATCAAAAATCACAAATTGTTTTTTTGCATCTGCCCTTGTTTATGAAGCTACTTGGTTGCAACAAACCAAAGAGTGGGGCAAGGGCTAGAATGCACCACTGTTACCTCCTCTCCAGTAAAGGTGCTGGGTTGGCTTGAATAATTTCTTACCATCTGGTCTGTCCTCTTTTATGCAACCACTGTGTACAGAAGAAATAAGGCTCATTGTTTCCTCTTGCAATGTCAGACTTGCAAGACACTGTTGCTTTTTACCCTAATTTTAAATTCCTTATTTCCTTTACTCACTTACTAACTCTAATTCTTCAAGCAGTTTGTGTTAAAAATTAGATATGCTGCCAGAGTGACCTAACTCATGCTCAGCAATCTGCTGACATCTATGAATGGGCACAATGGTGAAAACCCATCTCTGTCTGCCACATAAGTATTCATGCTTATAAGGGAAAATTTGAAAGCACCAGGAAATTTGACCCAAAGGGCAAAAGTGGCTTCCTCTTTTCAGCAGCATCAAGTTGAGGTCAAAACAATTTCTTGGAAAATGACTCAAATTTCCATGTGGCTCAATTTCATAAAAACTTCCTATTTAAGTTGTCTGATTTTTTTTCCCCTATGAAATATCCAAATACTGAGGTTCTGGTTGTGAACAAAGCATGAGTTAGTTCACCAAAATAAATGATTCTCACGAAGTCCTTTTACTTTTTAATGAATTTGATGTTTTAGCTTGAGTATCCAAAGACTAGGTTAAAAAGTCCTACTATATCTAAGGATAAGGATAATTTGCCATTCTGACCTGTACACTTTTAAGAGTGAAAGTAAACAGAATTATATAATTTTTGAAATATTTATCAACTGACAACCAGGTTTTATTATCTTGGTGGATCGATAAAATTATTTTACCTTATTTTTATTTACTTTCATAAATACATTATTTCAAAACAAAAGCAAAAGAAATATGTTTATGTTGATTATCTGAATATTTTTAAATGACACATGAAGAATAATTATTTGTGGCACATATTCATATATTTTAGTTGGTTTCCTAGCTGTATCGATCTATAATTCCACATCAGACTTACTTTTCAAAAGAATGTACTTTTTAATGTCACCTTTTCATACCTAATATTTCATAAAATTGTTCTTAATCATCTTCATAGTTACATTTAGTGGTCATGAGATTGACACCTTTAATTGACTCCACTGTAGACCATAATTTTAATTAAGAAATATTCTCTCTACAAGTACTTAGGTACCTTGAAAATTTACAATAAAAATATGACACATGGAGAATAGTGTCAATTATAGTTTTAAAATATTGAAATCTGTATATATTTCAGCCCAAATACTTTTAAGGGAACTATATTTTTATATCCATTCATATGAACTATCTGTCAAGCATTTTTTTAAAACAATACTGCAAATAAGTTATCTCTATGGTTCTTCTGAACTTTTTTAAAAAATTATGCTGAAAAATCCATGGCTTCTCAATTTTTTTTCACTCCTGGGCAGAATATATATTTATCCTATGAAACATCAAAAAACTCTTCCTAAAAATTGAAATAATTTGAAATAATCTAAAGTATAACTTCAGAATTTAAAAACTGAGTCATGCATAGTATTTGACCTCAGAGTTGCTTTGTGCCACACGTCTTACTCTTATAGAGAAAAAAAAAAAATTCAATGTCTTTTCTGCCAGTTTTTTTATTCACTTCCATTCACAAAAACTTCCAAAAATGAAGTTACTTAGCACTTCAGTCATTGAAGCTTTTGATTAAAAACTTCCAACTGATAATGACCAAAATGTGACAAAATGTAAAAGATTTCTTTTTGCACATCCAATAGCTTTGGGGAATGTTTAGGTTTATTGAGAGTTCTTCAAAGATTCTAACATTCCTAAAATCAGATTGATAACAGCCAACCAGAAAGACAGTGCATACAGCCTGCTGAAATTTATTTTTATACTTGACATATCTTTATTACGAAAACTTGTTGTTATCTCAACTCTGCATAAATAACATATTTGTAAATGTGGACACTACAACCTCTAATTTGATTAGTGGAACATTATCACTTATCCGGATGCAATTGCGGGTAGTTAGGGACCATGTCCACTCCCAGGTACATTTCTGCCTCATAGACACCTTCATTTTGGAAGAATATCTTATTAGCCACGATGGTATCCCTCCATCAAAATTTGCATTCATATTATCACTACAAAATTAATTAATCCTTAATGCTAAATGTTTAAATGAAATTTACAATGATATTCTTAATGTCAGAGATTTTATCATTTGTAAAATTAATTTGCAAAAGCTTTATTTTGATTTCACAAATTTTTTTTTTTTCCTTTTTGTCTTTTTTACTGACCGGTAACGGGATCGCAACCCTCGGTGTCACGCCCGCACCGGGGACTGGCAACGGGATCGCAACCCTCGGCGTTGCTCCTGCACCGCGCTCAGCCAGTGAGCAGGAACCGGTCTCCACATGGGATCCGAACCCTCTGCGGGAGCGCCGCCGCAATCCCAAGCGGCGCACTCTCCAGTGCGCCACCGGGCCGGCCCACAAATTTATTTTGATTGGATGCAAAAATCAAAACAATTTCAGAATTAACTTGTTTGATATTCTGTTTGAATCATCTGATGGCAGGCAGATAAAATTGGCATTATCTCACTCTTCACAAGGTTCTTCCTCTGTTACTGGGGTCAACATATTAACAGCTACCATGTCATTTTTCATACTTACACTATGAAAACTTGAAATGGAAAAAGATAAATTAATATGCGAGAACAGTAATTTGATCTAAATGAAAGGTCATGCTCCACAGAGAGATGCGTAAACACGCATTTTCAGCTGTATGTAGGAAAATCATGTTTTCAGAAACACTTTTTAAAGTAACTACTTTCTGTTGCAGTGGCTGTTGAGGCTTCTTCAAGATTTCTTGCAGATATCTAAACAAACATTTATTAGTTAGTTCATCAACAACCACCTGGGGAAATGAAATATCAGCACTTGATTATTCATTAAACATATACTCTCTATACTTTTTTATTATTTACTAATTGAGAAAGCATTACCAAACAGTAAAAAAACAACAACAGGAGGTACAGATTTATCCAACACAATGAGTGAAATAAAGCATTCTAATAAGAGTGGAAGAGTGGTCAGGATACTATTTATTCTCTTATCAGTAGGACAGTTTAACTTCTGCATATATTAACATACACCTATCCTATAATATCTCATCTTTCCCACTGACCATTCTGAATTGGCAATTTGGAGGTGTTATGCATGTTACAGGCCCTGGCCATGACCCCAGCACAACAGGCTGGCATACCATGTGGCTGATGGGACACACACTCATGTGTTTCTCCACCACTTCCTGAGACAAGAAGGGCTCATCTGGCAGCACTTTGTTTTATTAGTGACCATCCAAAAGCTTTCCTTTAAAGCTAGATTTTAATTAGGTCCTGGAAAGAGTCAGGAAAATAGAGATGGGTTATCTCTCCTTGTTTTTGAGATTTAACCTGGTGTCAGTCTTTGAGAACTCTGGTCACTGCAGTGCATTTCATGGGCTACTAGTAATGGCCATAGAAGATGAAAGCATAAACTGAAAACCTAAGCAACTTATGCCAGGCTTGTTTTAATGGAAATACTATATATAGTATTTAATAAAAAAATGGAGAAAAAACAGTAAATGAAAGCTTTCTAGAAAAACAGGGACATGT